TAAAGGAGCTCTTTAAGCCTCAGTGTTTATGTAAATGTGGCTTTAACTTTAAACCTCTCAGCTTTGTGGCTGCCCTTTTTATTCACGTTCACTTTTTTCCCTTGGCTCCCCTTGAATATACCACTATTATTTCCAGCTTATCCTTTGGGGAATATATATATATATATTTCATATATTTAGCGAAATGGGCCATTTTCCATCCCTGTTGACTGTTGATGCGTCATCACTGACTCACTCACGCCAGCGAAGAACCTGACCCAATATATTTTTTCTCTAGGTATATATTACACAGCACTGCGATTCTGTAAAGCAAGCTTCAGGAGGTAGGTAGCAAACTAATCCCAGAAAAAATAAACTTGTGGAAAGGCACGCTGCGCTGAGACAGGGGCTACACTGTGCCACCCTCAAAGGCGGTGTTTCTGTACCACAAATACGACGTCTGCAGGGCAGAGCTGGAAAAGCTCCCTTAGGACACGTGAACTGGCATTTTTGGCTCTCAGCCTCAAGTTTCCACCTTTCCCGGAGGGGACACTTCCTTGAGAGTAGTTTTTGTTAATTGTTACTTATTGCCAGAGTCTAAAGGGTCATTTAATAACTGACTGGTGCTGCACCTTCTATCAGTGTGCTCACAGCTGTGCCTAAAACACACCATTTGCTCCCAGGACATACTCACAGCACCTCTGTCACTTAAAAAACCCTCTAAGCTATGGGGTATATTTACAGCTCAAGTGTGCCCAGGGTACTTTAAGAGTTGGGAGTTTAACAGTATTAAAATCCCCTAAAATAGTAGGGTCATCAAAAACACGGGGGGTGGGGTGGTGGAATTTGGCTGTAATATTTAAGCTTCTGTAAGCAGTTCCCAAAGAATGCACATCCTCAAAACTGTTTTGCACTGCTCGCTTCCCCATCTCAAGGCTGGAATGGCGCTGCTGTTTCTCGGCAGGAGGTCTCTCCCCATTCCCAGCTGGGATTTTTTGGCTGTGGTGGGGAACAGCCCCACGGCGATGGGGCTCCGAAACACGCAGGACCACGGCTTTTCCCAAATGAGCCCGGCCACAGACCAGCGTTCAAAATATCCACCGGCCACAGCGCGAGGGAGGGCAAAGATCCTCATTTCACATTTGCAGCGCTAACGGGTGGTCAGCCCCACAAGGAGAGGTACTGTGTCACCGCAGCATCGCCCCTGCACCCAGCCGGGCTCCTCTGCATCTCACCTGCCCCGGAGCACCCTGCTCACCCACGCCAAGGCACGACGGTGATGCGGGCACCGGGGAAGCGACCGCATCTGCTTTGGGGTGTTTGCCCAGTCCATGCTGGGCTTGCTACTTCAAAGGCACTTCATAAGGAGCATGCAGAAGGTGTCGATGAGCCCATGCTTAAAAAAGCAGCAGCAGCGACACAGAGACTGAGATAAAGGCACAAAGCGGAGCATCTATGCAAGTTGACAGGGCAGTGCGGGCAGATATTAAGGAGAGGGACCGGGCAGCCCGGCAGCTGGCCAAGATACAGCTTCAAATCTACATGGCACTTCTCCTGAGCAACGTGCTTTACCAAGAAAGGCTGTATCGCAGTCCCTGATGTCCAGAAAGGGAAACTGAGGGGCAGGGAGCAGCACAGAGACTCGCCCAAGTTCACTCAGCAGCCCAGCGGCAGAGCCGGCACTCGGATCCAGCTGCCTCCTGGCTCCCAGCCTGCGGCTCTGCCCGCCAGACGGCTTCATCCACCCCTGGGTCACAAACAGCACAGAGCGAGGAGGGAGGACTGCCACAGAGAAATACGACGCTATCAAAGAGAAGCCATGACGGCAGCAATACACTGCAGGACAGACTTTTCTGGGTCTTCCTGTGCTCCCGCTCTCCAGGCAGTTACCTACGCTTTAGCACCGAAACGCAATCTTTCTTCAGTGGCCCGATCTGCAGGTGGGCATCGACGCTCTCCAGGAAGAAGGCTGGTTTCAGCTTGCTCAAGAAAAGAGAGGCAAATTGGTGGTTGATCTTGTTCTGGAACGGGTCAAACTGACCCTTGGCAAAATGGGAGACCTTGAGCTGCTGCAGGCAGGTCATCTTGGAGTCCTTGACTCCGTAGAAGGTCAGGGCCTTCTCCGAATACTCCAGGAAGACCCCAATTGTGTGGAAAAACGGCTGCTGGATGACGGACTCAAAGCCACCAAACCAGGCCACGTAGTTCTGTCCGTTCCACTGCAGGCAGCAGGACTTCTCGTTCCGCCCCAGGCGGCCGCGGTTGTAGGACTGCCGGGGGTCGAAGTCCTCAGCGATGACGCCAATGCTGACCCAGCCATCGATGAGCTCCACCTCCCAGTAGTAGTTGCCCCGGTTCATGAGGTTCACACCCAGCACCTGCTCGCAGTTGATGAACCGGGTCGGGCTCTCCGGGTAGGGGATGGGGCACAGCACCCGCTTGGCCCCTTTGGTGCCAAACAGCTGGATGAACTTGTCGGCCGTGTCACTGTCCAGGTCAATGATGAAGGCAACTGTGTGGGGCAAGAAGGAGATATGAGGATGATGAGGGAAACAGGAGGAAATGCCTCCAGCCCTCCCTGCTCTGATCCCCTGCTCCAGCCTTCGGTGAGTAGCACGATCCTTTCTGACTTCCACCATCACGCTGTCCCCTTGCTTTTAAATCCCACGGCCAATTTCAGCTGATGAGGATAAGAGGCTGAAAGAGTTGCTACTCCCATAAGCAGGATGAATACAGGTAACCGGGCAGAGGAGAGAGCAGAGGGGCTGCTCGATGAGCTCAACCATGATATCAGGCATTGGAGAGTGTAGGTAGAGTGGTAGTAGGAACATCCCATATAAAAGCGGGTTTCAGGCAACCACAGACAAACACAGCAGGGAGGGACCCCAAGAAGACAGGAGAACAGCCAGGCACATCACAGCTACAAACCAGCTGCTCCTTGTGGTTGGCTCTCACTGCCCTGTGGCTCCTGCAGGAGCAGAGGCAGCTCCCAGCGTGCGGAGCCACGTGAGAACCACTGCTGGATCCTGAACAGAGGGGATGTCCAGCGGGAACAGTCTTGGACATGTACCACTACCGATTGCGTTGCAGGTCTGAACCCATGGCGTGTCCAAACCCTATAGCAGCGGCACAGCACGCCCCGCTTGAGCCCAGGCTTTGCTGCCTGGCTCCCAGCGGGGTGCACCGGTGCTGCCGAGGCAGATCTTGTCCCCTGTGAACATCTCAGGAGGTGACCCCACATCCTCTGTAAGGCTGTGGGGGGACGCACGGGGTGTTGGACCCCAAGCACAGCCCTGCACCCTTCAGCCTCAGCCCCTTCTGCCCCACTGTCTCTGCTCAGCCACGGGATTATCCCTCTGCTAGCTGCCACTGAAGCTGACCCTCATCAGACTGCTGCTCTGCAGCAAACAAGGCAGATGCACAAACTCTGATCTAATTTAATGGAGGATCCAATTTGTCAAGGGCTGGAAGGCAGCAGAAATTACACGGTATGCCTGCAGGCCCCGGGGCAGCTGGTCCGGCAGAACCACAGACAAGGGAAAAAAAAAATCACCTGATCAGATCATGACAATTGTCAGGAAAGCAAGGAGGCTTCCCTGTTAGCTGAGCAATATTTCCTCTGGTGGCGGCAGTGCTCCTGCCAGCCATTGGCTTGGGACCAGCTCCGGCCAGGCATGCAGGAAGGAGCCCGCCGGCCGGGGGGAGAGGAAAGGGAAGATGGACCTTAGCAACAACTGCCAAAGCAAAAGTCCCTCGCTTACATTTCAGGAAGTAATCACGGCTCTCCAGGCAGGCGGAATTGTTTGGCTTGTCTGGAAATCGGGACTCGACCAACACTGCAGAGACATGGACAGAAGGGTTTGCCATCAGCGAAGAAACCAATGCCACAAACAAGGGTGTTACTGGAGCATCGCCCCCCACCCGACACCCTGATGGTACCCAGCTGCTGCGGCCCCCGAGCCCCAGCTGGCATCCCCAGCTCCCCCTGCGCATCCCTGCCGGCTCGGACACGGGAAAGGACAGATGCCACCTTTGCCATCCTAGGGAGATGGGCAGGGGGTGCAAGGAACCGGCTGCAATTCCCACGGGCATCCAAGAAAATGAGAGAGAGGAGAGAGCTCAGGCTAAATGAGAAAGCGCGGGAGAAAACACGGGAGAATGCTGCTGCGGTGACCGCCTAACCCTGGCAGGTTTGGGAGACCACAGCCTGCCCCATGAAGAGGATCGTCTGTCCTGGGAAGAAAGAGTCCCCTTTCACGGGAGGCCACTTTGGCCACTTGCCCCCTCCCACAGGGCCCTGCCTAACTCCCGGGCTGTTTGTTGCCTCTCCAGGCTCCGGTCTCTGTGGAAAAATTCATAAAACCTCAAGGACGAGGCGTAAGCCCAGACAGGGATTGTGCAACGTGCAGCGCAACCGTGCCGGGCAGCTTCCAGGGCTGGTGGGAGAGGGGCCAGCGCTCGCTGGAGCCATCGAGCCGGCAGGCATCTCCCACCTACGCGGGGAGGATGGAGGGTGATGGAATGACCTCCGGGCAGAGGGGCTGGGTGAACACAAACCTTCCTCCACCTCCGGGAAACTCAGCCCATCAATTCCTTTCCCCTGCAAGTGGTCCCACTGTTTTTTGCAGGCAGCAGACAGCACATCCTTCACGGTGCCCACGGCTTGGGTGCATTTGGTGAAGTTCAGCTCATTCTGGAAGCTCAGAGCTGGGGAGAGGTTTTCTTCCATGGCTACTTTTAAGGCCTGAAATTCCTGAGCCAAAAAAGACAGTGTTTCAGGAGGTTTCAAACAAGCCGAAGTTGTCTCTTGTTCCGCAACCCCACCCTGCCCCAGAGGATTTGCGAACTGGCAGCTCGCAGGACTTGGCCCAAGGACAGCCTTGCATAAGGGAGGAGAGTGCTTTCCCGGCCGTGCGCTCCTGGTGCCTTCTCTTCGCTCCCTTTCAAACCTGGACCCAGACCATGCCCACCTCGCATGAAGCAGCATTTCCTCCCAAAAAGGTCTCCTCTTGCTGGGCTGCCGGGGAGGGGGTGGTGTTGGGTAGGGGCACTGGGGCACTCCAGCCTCTCACTCTCTGCCCACCACACCTAGGTGCCCAGCCTGGGCAGCACATCAGTTTCTCTTGAGTCATGGCCAGGATGGAGGTGGGGGTGATGGAGGAGAAAGTCTTGGCTGCCCGGTCCCCCTGAGAGAGGGGAGGGGAGTGGACTGTGCCAACAGGAGTGAGACCCTGCAGCCCTCACATCCCAGGGCTCCTGGCACCCAGCTCCACGTGAAATGGGACAAAACCCCAAAAGGCAATGTTATCGGCTCCTTCTCCTTGCCCCATCCCACCCAAGCACCTGGAGGAAGTAGATGGTGTCAGTGCTGGGGACGTTCTCCAGGTTTTGCTTGCACTGGAGCAGCTTGGCTCGCCTCTCCTCCTTCCAGCGGAGATCGGCCTCGGCCTCCCCCAGCATGGAGCGCTCCCCGTGCTCAATGAAACCAGCCACCTCCTTCTGGAAGGTCGCCAGGACCTCAGAGGCTTCTGCAAAGAGCTTCTCGACTCTCTCCCTCTCCTTCGTGGCGGCACCCTGAGCACAGGGAGAGAGGGGTTGGAGTCACCTCCCGCACGCGAGGGAGCGGGACACAGGCGAGGGTGTGGGACGGCACCTTTGTTCCTTGCCCAACACCCAGTTCGCAGCTCTGTGGGGTCCCCCTGACACCCCGTAACCCCCTTCACCCAAGAGCTCAGAGCACTTTACAACCCAGGTGTCAAGGGACCTGGCTGGGCACAGCCGCTTACTGCTCCACCACGTCTCATGTCCCCAGGCGGTGAAGTGACGTGTTTGCACAAGAGCCAAAGGGGACCAAAACCCCTGTGAGCCTGGGGAGAGAAGGTGCAAGAGCCAGCGGATGCCCTGGCACGGTCCTTGCCCCATTCCTCCTTCCAGGTTGCAAACGAAAGCAACCAGACATGCCGTGAGGGTTAGTAGAGATGAGGAGCAAGAATCCTCAGGGATCCTTGCCAGGGTCACCATCGTTTTACAGAGCACTTTCTCCCCTGTGCTTCTCTATATCCCAGGTGCCCCAAAAGCTCACGGCCCCTTCACCTCCACTCCCCAGCCCAGCAGAGCTGTGCTAACGGAGTGATGCCATCGCAGAGTCACCTTAATGAGCTCCACCATCTTCTTGGCCTGTGCGATGGTGACTGCCAGCTCCTCCAGCTCGTTCTCTGCATCGCTGAGGAATTTGGCTTGTTGGGCCTGCGGACATGAAGGACAAATGCTGAGCTCTGCCCCCCGATCCCAGCAGCAGGGAGGTGCAGGGGACCCAGCCTCTCCCTAAGTTCAACCCACAGCCCCCTCTCTGACCGTGACCTTGCTATCAGGCTTCGGGTGAAGCGTGCAAGGGGAATCACGAGTTGTTTTCCTGTTTTCCTTCCCTGCAACATCCAACCTGCAACCATCCCTTCTCAGTCGGTTGGAAAACTAAAGGAGCAGCCAGGCTGCAAAGGGTCGTGCCCTGCTCCACGCTCCCCACCCCGGTCTCAGCGGAAACCAAACAAAATAGGAATTTGAAAGCAAAACCATGGGGCAGTGATTGCAGCAGGCGCAGCTAAGCTGCGTGCTCTTAGTGTGTATCCCAAGGCTGGGAAAAATCTGCCTGGGACGGGTGCAGAAACCGAAAGGCAGACCCGGAGCACTCAGAAACGCAGCGCTGAGTCTCCTGGACATGTCTCGTTAGGAACAAAGCAAACCAGCTCAGGAGCACAGGGTGCTACATGGCTGCAAAGGAAGCACCGTCCGAACACACGTTTCCTGACCCTCTATTGTTTGCGCCAGCCGTTGCCCATCACCAGGACGGGTCCCTCGGGAGCCAGGAGGGCATTGCACTCCCCAACTGGGGCAGCTCCCCCTCCCGATGCTCAGTCCCCAACCCCCTGCAGCGCTCATGCCCTGTGAAAGGGGACAGGCGCTTTCCCTGTCCATCGTTTCCACCCCGCAGTACAAGGGCGGTGGCAGAGAGCGGCCACCGAGGCCGTGCAGGCAACGTTAAGGAGCGCCTGCTGAGGCTTAATAGCTCCTCAGGGCTGGGATCACACGCGCCTTCTATTTTAAGGCACCCGATGACTAATAACACCGGCAAAAGGGTTTTCCTGCAGCCCCAAGAGCCTGCAAGGGAATGGGAGCTGGCTCGGGGCTGCTGCTGTGCTCCCTGCCAGCGCGTCTGCAGCCCCTGGGCTCTCCCCCAGAAGAAGCAAACCTCCCCAAGGTCCCCAAACGCCCCATGCCGACGCGGGGATGCCACCACGTCACGAGCCTCGCAGGCTCCCATCAGCCTGCAGCCCCGCAGAGGCCCCACACACTGAGGCAGCAGGGCTCAGGAAGGCAGCACTGTGGCAGGCTCGGAGCCCCGGCTCCTGGGGAGGCTCGTGGGTGCAAATTTGGGAGGTGACTCAGCCGCATCTGGGAATGGGAGTGACAGAAAAAACCCCGCTGCCAAAACACCAGGACACAAAGGGCTGGCGGAGTGGGAGCGGCGGCCAGGCAGGCTGCCAGCGCGCTGAGAAAAACTGCCTTGAAGCTGTGGGAACGAGACGGAGAAGACGGGTGCCCTGTGACCGCGGGGGCGGCCACTGCAGGGTGTCCCAGGCGCCCTCGCCCCCAGCCCTACACCCACGGGGATTGCGAGTTTGGCCCCGCAGTGGGACCAAACCCCACGGGCTGGCTGGCAGCGGGTCTGCCACTAATGCCTGTCCTGGGGCTGCCTGTCATGTCCCCACCCCACAGGGTGACCAGATGGCACAGCACCCTGTCCATACACCCCCCCGTGCTGGGGTGGGGGCCCCTGTGGGGACAGGCCTGCAGCACCCACCCCGCACAGAGCGTCCCACCAGTGCCGCACCTGCACATCCCCCCCCGGGGGTTAGGTCCCCTGTGGGGGATGTGGGTGCCGCATGAACCCCTCCCAGGGGTGCTGCAGCTCACCCCACCCAGGATGCCCCACCGGCACCGCACCCCATATGGACGCCCCCGTGCCAGGGTTAGGTCCCGCGTGGGGATATGGGTGCAGCACCC